ATCAAAAAAGAAAACAAATAATTATGAGTGCATTACAAGTGAATGTTTTTATCAACCTCATTCAGACACAGCTATAAGACGCTGCTGCTACATGTCAAGTGGTCTACAACGAAAAACTCGTTTGAAGTGAATCCATGAGTGAGTAAGACAAAGCTAAATATGATCACTGATGATATTCCTTTTGAGATGAATCTTGTTGATGTTATATTCCTGGAGGAGAGTGATTCTCACTGCATAAGAGGCCCGGCTTGTAGGTCACTAGTAAACTAGCGAGCTAGTAAATTAGTTCAATCGTATCAATCGCATAGATCTTATCCACGTCATGATAAGAAAATCTCAGGAGACAAGAAATAATAATTATGATGTTCTGAAAGGACAGGAGTTTCATACATGCAGAATTCTGATATCGTATTTTTAAAAAAAGCATTAAACATATGCAGGCACGTACTTATGCTTCCATAAACATGAATGAAACTGATTCTAGCGGGTACGAATAAATCTGTTGCCATTATCGATCCAGTTTTTAGCAACAACATAACCAGTGTCTGGTCCCAATGACTCTTAGCATTGCGAATCTTATAAAAAGAATTTGCTTGATGTCTCTTGACTAAGGATGGTTAGTAGGGACATCCAGAAGGCGTGCTTCTACCTATACCATTTGTTGCTTGTCAGTTAAATACACTTACAAATGAAGTGATACCTAAACGCAGCACCCATCGTTTCAAACAAAAAACTGAATGATCTTGTTGTTTATGCGTTCGCTAATCCGATAGTTGCAGTAATCAAACGAGTCTTACTCACTGTACTGTGGATTCAGCTCAAATTCAGCCCTTTGTATGTGTGTGTGTATGTGTTTGATCAAATGAAGTAATCAGTTTTCACAGGTCAACATGCTAAATGAAAGTGGAGGCAAAGACAATCTGTGTGACAGCAGGATTTCATCATTAGCAGACATCATTTAAAGGAACATTGGAGAACCACTTGAGATTAATTGACAGCTGTTTCGTTTTAGTGCTCAAGACTCTCCAGCAGTACGCACCCACCACAGAGGTTGGAACCCAGGACCTTCCAGTTTCAAGGCGAGCTTATAGACCATTAAGCTACTGAGAACCAATCCAATCGCTTTTGAATTCTAACCTCGGCCATATAGTGCGACCACTAGGATCAAATCCCTGCAAACCAACACCTGAACATCAATCCGACGTTCACTAGTCACTGATCTTATTCAGTTAGGTAGCCATCTGGGTTCAGTGAGAAGTCGTCAAAACTGGGATACAGCCAGTTGTGTGTGAGAACAAATACTCGCCAAAGAACTGACACTGGCTAGTGCCAGTCGCGCTTTATCCTGAATTGCAGGAAGTTGGAATTCATAGATAGGTCACTGGATTGGGTCCTATTGGCTGAATGGTCTACAAGCATGCCTTGTAACCAGAATGTCCTGGGTTGGAACCCTTGTGGTGGATGTGTACTGACAAAGAGTACTAAGGGGTCGTATGAAACAGATGTCCAGTTCTCCTATGTGGTTTTCTAATGGTTCTCTAACCGATGTCAGCTAATGATGAAATCCCGTAACCAATCAAATCAAATCCCTGTATACCAACACTTGAATGAGAATCTGTAAGAATTACTGCATCGTAGTGATTTATTCAAATTAATTTGAAATCTAGATGTATTCGACTGAAGAGTCAAAGGTGGGACGAAATGCATCTCTTGGATTCCAGTGATAGACAGTATCAGTTAGTAAATCACACCATAATATGATGATTGCATAAACAAAATAATATGATATGTGTACCTACACTCACACAAACATACACAGAAATACATAGATATGTACGCCCAAACTGTAGTAAATTCGATGTTGCTCAACCTAGTATCTGCCTCCACTTCTGTTTCACAATTACCTGTAATTCCTAATTCAAATATGTATATAAATATATATCTTCAAAAATGCTTCAAATATTCTCCATTTAGAAAATATCATCGAAAGGGAAGTATTTTTTGAGAATTCGACAGAAAACCCAAGAATACAGTTGGTGGAATCCAGAATTTGCAGTTCATTCTATTTGAGACTCGTCATCTAGACGTGCCTGCATTCGTTTCCCAGTGACTGACAATGCTCCCTCCGAGGCTCGAACCCAGTACGCATAACTTCAAACACCAAAGCGTTATCCACTTAACCAGTTGGGTCAAGAGACCTGTTCACCTATTGTGCAAAGTGTCTTAATGATTGTTTAATTCAATTTAGATACTCCCGTCAATGGATTCCACTGACTTCAGTTTACATGACCAAACATCGTTGAAGCATCAACAAAAAGAGCCGATCTGAGGTTGAGCACTTCTGTCCAATCAATCGACTGGAAAATCTAAATTGAATTAAAATCTAAGAAGAAATTCTCTAATTGAGCAATGAAAAATAATCGTTCATCAGAGTCGTCTACAAAAACAAAAAATGATTAATGTGTAGTTGAAGATAAAAAACATTTTCTCTTTTTTTAAAGAACAACTTAAAACTGTCTTGATTGTCTCCTTTTAATAAATGAGTTTTATCGTTCCTTGTCAACTTAAAAAACCTAAGACATTTTTTCTTTTAAATTTTATGAATTTGGGTAGAATATAGACTCTTTACTGACTTATTGATTTTTAGGCATATATTTGACTGTGAACAGAGAAGCTCCTTGTTCAATATTCAACTGTTTAAATAATGTTACAATTTTTTAGTTAAAACCGTAGACTATTTAGAAAAATAAATTATTTCTTATAAAGACAATGGGATATCTTTTCTTGAGTTAGGAAAAAGACTATCGCATTAACGTATAACCTCACCAACCTCACCTAGTCTGTTGGCTTGCTAGTTTTCTAGCCGGTTCCGAACTCGGAAGAAGACAAACAGGGTTGAGAATGGGGTTAGCTACCCTACTCCCTAAAAATCAATCTAACTGCTACGGAAACAAGAAAAATATTTTTTTTTAAACTTATTTTGCGTTTGACTTGGACACATGAAATAACACAGCGGGCTGGTGATAAACTTCAGAAAACCAGTCAGCCGATATCTTCTTGTTTCAATGAAAGCAAAAATAAAAATGGGGAAGTGGAATCTTCGTACAATATACGAAGCTGGAAAGGCTGCCCAGGTAGCCAAAGAAATGAGAAGATATGACTTAAGAGTGCTCAGAATCTGTGAAAGCAGATGCATTTGGATGTGAAGAAACCAAATTGCCAACTGGAGCGTCAGAAATCTACTTGACTCTTGTTACTCAGACGACAACAACGAGCATATTGAGCCAGTGGCTATCATGATGTCACCAGTGGCTGCTAAATCTCTAATGCAGCCGCTCTAATGGGAACCGAATAGGGGATGCGACAGGCGAGAGATACTGCGAGGTGAAGATGAGAGATTATGAGAAATCGTAGACCTAGGTGAAGAAGAGATGAGAAAATTAAATAAAGTGGAGATGTTGAAGCGTTATTGTCCACTCGGAAACCAAGGGAAAAAATTCAGCTTTCATTATTACTTTCATAAACAGAATCAAAGATAATATACGTTCTACTTTTACTGGACAGATTATTGTATGTTCGAAAAAAATTGCTACACACTTTAAATCCCAGTGAATAATCTTTCTTGAATTCTCTTAGAAATGCCAATAATTTGTTTCTAAATTTCACAAGGAAACGAGATCTCTTACGTTCCATTTATGATAAATAAGTACCCTGAATATTTTGCACTAGAAAGATTAACATAGTCAAAATTTTCAACCACAGTTTCTTTTCCTGTAATAAGAACAAACAGTTCAATGAAGAGTCTCCTTTTTGGGCGAATTCATTCACTTAGCTGTACAATCGCAATTATACATAATTATTTGTGAGTGTGTGTGTGTGCGTACGTTAGGTTTGTCAGACAAGTATAAAAATTAGTGAGGGTTATTGTTTATTGATGTCATCAAAATGTTTGAAAAATGTCGTGAATAATCAAATTGTAACTAGTGAGTCTCGATTAAGGTTACGTCAAATGAAGGACGTTCAGAAAAGCAGGTTGTTAATGAAAGACCATGGGGACACATATCCAAAATAAATTATGTAGTAGATAGAAAGAGTGAATGAAGGGTTAGTTTGAAAAAACATCTTACTACAATGTCATACGAAAATTGCACAAAATAGTATTAATAACGAAATAGTTGAACTTGAAGTTATAACCAAGGTAGAAGGAGGGAATGGAGAAGTTTCTTCTGTGTACACAAACCAGAATTTTCCATCCGGATCGCTAAGGCCTCAGCAATGCAAAATATGTGGGAGCTTACAGTTTTCCAGAGTCTTCTTTTGACTTTGTAGAGGACTTTGAATGAACTCCTTTTACATATTGAGTGAACAGTGTTGAAAATGTGTTCAATTATGGCACTCACTAGTGATCCACTGTTAACGTTTTGTTAGCTAGGTGGAATAATGTTCTTTGACTCTTTTAGATAAAACATACATCGACGACCTATATATCTCTCTCCACATGAGCAAGTAAATTGGAAGATACACATAGAAGTGGTCAAATGCAATGGTTTGTCTTTGGAGTTGTTGAAGAACAGTGGGCGGTATGAGAATACCAATCGCAATGTAGCAGCAGTGAATGTTCTTTCCAGGGTGTTAGATATTCACTTCTTCAGGATGTTGGCCAGAAGGCCGCCTCTGAACATCACATTCATGCATAACATATTACTCCTTTATGTTCCCAGTGGAACATAGAGTTTCAAGCTAGAGGCTTGAAGTTTCGGTAACAGTGGTGTCTATATTTTTTAGAAGATATGGTTGCTAGTCTCACTCCCACCCAACCTTCCCTCTTCGTCGGGATTGTGATCGGCTTAGAGAGGTAATGGTGTTCGCTTGCCGGGACTCGAGCCCCAGACCATGTCCTCGGTTGGCCATCACTCTACGGCTGAACCACCAATGCACTTTCAATAGGGTAATAAATTGTAAATTTAATGTTTTCTCGTATTCTTATCTTTTTTGTTCAGGTGTTATTCGATCATTGAAAAGATTTAATAATCATACAGATTCAGTGTATGAATTCAATGTGACAGCATTCGATTGCCATCTACCAATGCCGTATAATTCATCTGTACCTGTTACTATTCATGTCAAAGCATCGTGTACATCACAATGGAATGGTAAGTGACAGTTTTATATGAAGAGTACAATGTTAACTATCATTTTAAAAAAATTTATTTATTAAGTGGAATTTCCTTTAATTCCTAGATGAACATAGGGCTTCAACCGTGCGTCTCCATTGCGTTCAGTTCTCTGCTAGAATCTTCACCTGACTCCAAGTCTGCCAACACGCTTTCATCTCCTCTTCACATGACCTCCTCCAAGTCACCCTTGCAATGACGACCAACTCGCCACCTCCCTTTCGGGTTCCACTCGAGCAATGGCTTGTCTAGTGATGTCACTTGATGGATTGTTTCCTCAGAGTATGGCCAATCCACCTCCATTTCTTCCTGCCTATTTGTTTCACAATCGGTTTCTGGTTGGTTCGCTCCCAGAGATCACACCATGTTGCTGATCTTTTCTGGCCTACCATCTGATCTTGAGTATTGAGCGAAGACAACTGTTAATGAAGGTCTGTAGTTTGTTTGAGCGGCTCTTTATGACGCGCAGTGCAAGTCTCTGATCCGTAAAGTAGTACTGACTGACTTCACATTGGAGTTGAAAATCCTGATCTTATTTTTGATTCTGAGTGTTGTTGACCTCCACACAGACTTGAGAGTAGTGAAAGCTTTTCTTGCTTTTCTGATTCTTGCTTTGGTATCCTCGTCAGTTCCACCTGTAGTTGAGACGATGTTTCCCAGATCAGTAGGTAAAAGAGGTTGTTTCTTTCAGGTTCCTCCCATTTATGCTGATTGTTGTCTGTTGCTGTTGTTGTTGCTGTTGGTGGTGTTGCCCAGGAATCTTCATCACCTCTGTTTTCTCTATGTCTACCTGAAGTCCTCCCTTCTTAGGATGCTTCTTCTGTCAACTTGTTGCTTTTCGCTTGCTGAAATAATGGGTAAATAACTTCGATCATTGGGTCATTATTGTCTGAATTACCTAGACATCTTTTTTTAGTGTACTTGCCTTAGAGTCACACCCACACACAGACATTGTGTGTAAAGACTGTTCATTTCATCCGCCCAAAGTAAACTAGATGGCGGGAATTCAACACCAAACCCATTGGTTGAAAGCTGAGAATTTAATCTAATTAATCACGTCTTCTTGTGACAAATTTATGTATATGGTTGATTTTATTTGGGTTTCTACTGGAACCTTATACTATCTATCTGAAAGGCACACAAAACGTCTCAGATAAAATATGTTGACAACTAGTGTGGACTTTTCAAAATGTCTCGAAATGAACGGTGACTTTCAGAAAAAGAAGCTTCATTGAACAATAACTGATACTCGCCTAATAAGACATCAGTCATTTAGTCTAGTTGCTTAGTAGACAATGCTTTGGAGTTTTCGGGGAGATGTTTCCTTGGTTCGACTCCCAGCGAAAACTGTGAATTCAATTACATTCAGTTTACAGTAAGAAACATGCGGTTTTTATTTCACTGTTTAGGTGTATTCCACCTATTAGCATCATGCTAATCCTCAGATATTGTCTAAGATGACTTACTGACTGACTGGTCTCAACATGGAACTTTGCACAGAAATGCAGCAGATCAACTTGCTCTACTACATGTAGCACACAAAGGGAGAAAAAAAAGTAAGAAAAGAGATTAAACAGAGCGGTAGTGAGCAGAAATATGAGAGAGAAAGAATAGGGATATGGAAAAACAATAGGGTCTAAAAGATATCGCGGACAGTAAGGACTGAATACATCTGCGCCATTTACAATGATGTTTAGCCATATCAGTAACTGTCTCTAGATGTTCGTTCTTAGCATCCAGAGGACACTAACCTAACAACCAAAAAGTCTACACCTCCCTACGTGACTGGCTGGCTGGCTGCCTTAAATTAACTATTAACGATTTCATAGACAGATTCCAGGCTTCGGTTTGACCACCTACGCTAACTCTTATCCAACCACATTGATCTTATGTCAGTTGACATTGACCATCGGTCGACGAAGGCTTCAACAACACACCTCCACTTTGTTCTAATTTCTGCTTTCCTCTCCAGCTGGACCCAAGATTGTTTATAGTATTTCATCCCCATTTAGGTCTTACTCAAGAGATGGCCTGTATTGAGGGCGATGTCATTTAACGGCCTCCCCATTGTGTGCCCGATCCATCCATTTGTTGAACGATGAGTTCTTGGTTTATTTATTCCCAGAGTTCTCTATGCTAATTCTTGCTGGCATGCCATTTGATCTTCAGCGTGGAGCCAGTGAAGATAGCTGTTGATCAAATTCTGTAACCTGTTGGAAAGGCACGTCATGACGCGTGAGCAAAGTTTCTGACCCACATACAAGAAATCAGTGACTTAAAGTCTGAGTTGAAAATCCGATTCTTGTTCACTTTACTGAATGCAGAATATTTCCACATTGATTTCAGAGTGTTGAAGCTTTTTGGACTTTTCCGAATCTGCATGGCTTTGACATCCACATCCATGCTGTCGCCTGTAGTTGATAGGATGCCGTCTGTCGAGATAACTGAAGGAATTGACTAATTCCAAATTTATTCCATTGATACGGATTGGTGCTTGTTATTGTTGATTGGTTACCTGCATCACCTTGGTCTTTGCCGTGTTAACTTGAATTCCTACCTACACATCTGCTTCTTCTGACACCTTGTTGGTTTTCGTCTGTAAGTCCTCGAGTTTGTATGACATTAAATATAAGTCATTTGCAAAGTTCAGATCTTATAGGTTCTTACTATCTGTCCAACGTATTCCTGCTTTCTCACTGCCTCCTTTCCCCCCTCCAAATGATATGCCTCATAATCCAGTCCACGACAATTAAGAATATTATCGGTGATAATATGCAACCTTGTCTGACTCCCATATTCACTTGGATGGCTTCATTGAGTTTTCCGTTGTCGATCACTTGAAACGTGCCATTCTCATAAGGCTGTTGAATAGGTTTGACAAAGATTTGGGACAAACCATAGTGTTGAAGTAATTTCCAAATTATTTCGTGGTCGACCCTGCTGAAGGCCATTTCAAAGTTGATAAAATTGAGGTAGAGGTTTGCAGAGTTTAACTATCTTATCGTAAATGTTACTGTGACCAGTTGACGCCTATATATAAAAATGTAAGAATGGGGAATAGGAAGGAATTGAAAAGATTTCATCTCCCTTTCTCTCTCTCTCTATCTCTATATATCTTTCTTTCACCCTGTTACCTATATAATTTCACATTTTCATATTTCCTCCTTGTTGTGTGGATAGTAAATATCAATGTTGCAGTCAAATATAAATTGACGTGATTTATGCCTTTTGTTTATATATGTATTTTTCCCATTGCCTATCACATTTCATTAATCATGCATAATCGGTTGTCGATAAACCAGTTGTTACTTCATAATTCTAAGGGTGTGTGTGTGTGTATGTGTGCTGGCATACAGAGGGAAGACAACAGAAACTTCCTGTGAACGGGTGTCTCAATCGTGTCTCAATTTAACTTTACTGTACCTACGTAAAATGATAAACTCAAAATACAAAAGAACAAAAGTCTCTTTTTTTATTTCTTTCTCTCTATGTCTTGTTGAAATTTCTGTCGTTTCATTTCTCCTTCCGGTTATGCTTTCAAAGTTCTAGTAGGGCTTGGTTGTTTCTGTTTCTATTTTTGGTTTCATTTAACGGGAGGTGGGAGGGGAGTAGGAGATTTCTGTGTGTACAAATACAACACACCCATCATATGATGTAGGATGTATTGTTCATTTCTTGCTACTCATCTATCTATTGTTTCTTTCTTTTTTGTCTAGACATTTATTTGTGTGTAGAGAGGGTTTTTCCACCTTGCTGGTTTCAACTTACCCCATTTCCTACCTCATACTCCTTCTCTGTCCTTCTCGCCTTCTTTTCCTGTATGCTATTACACACCATTGCCACACCTCCGTGTTTAATACAAATCCCGTAAATCGTTAACTTTGCCCTCTCTCTCTCTCGCGCGCGCGCTCTCTATCTCTTGTTTCTATTGTCAACGATGTTCATGATTAAGAGAAACGGTTTCATAAATGAAACTGATAAGGAAAAAACTAAATTCTATGCAAAAAACTAAAAGATTGTTTATGCCATTTGTCACTAGTGTAATATCCTAGAGAATTACAAAAACAATTTCATCTCTTTTCAGTGTATATATATATATAGTATTTCAAAATTCAATTGTCATTTCAAGGTTACTCATGCATTTAAAATGAATTAATTAGTTAGTTAAAACAAAACAGAACCAAAAGCAACTTTTTAATTTGAAAACACAAAAATAGTTGTCGCTTTCAGTAAATTCTTTTTTAGGCGCTACAATTATAAATCCGTTCAGCACTTAAGCATACAATAGCCAAACCACTAAAGGCAAATTAGATTCACATCAGATATGTGTATTGTGTGGAACAATAGTCAGTTATTTAATTCAATTTAGATTTTCCCGTTGACTGATTGGAGCGAAGTGCCCGGTCTCAGGTTGACATGTTGGCTCCTTGTGCAGATGCTTCGACGATGTCTGGTCATATCCTGGATTCCACTGATAGTTACTATCAACCGATTGACTTCATATAGTCAGTTAGTTTTGAATATGCACGGTCAATGAGAGCATAAGATGGGATGAGATGAAATAACTTAATGGTGTATATTAATATTATTGTTTCCTTTGATTCCTAGAGGGCTTCAGCCGCACGGCTCCATTGCGTTCGGTTCTCCGCCAACGTTTTCACCTGACTACACTTCCATGTCACCTTCGCACTGACGATCAACTCGCAGATTCCCGTTAGGGTTCCACTCGAGCGATGGTCTGGCGTGTGATGTCACTTGATAGTTTGTTTTCTTAGAGTATGGCCAATCCACCTGCATTTCTTTTTCCTTATTTGTTGCACAATTCTTTCCTGACAGGTTGGTTCGTTCCCAGAGATCCTTCACTACTGTTGATCTTTTCTAGCCATCTGATTTTGAGCGAAGACAGATGTTGAAGAAGGTCTGTAGTTTGTTCGAAGTGCTGGGCTGAAGAAGCAGCTGTCTAGTACTCCCTGACTGGTTTTCCAATCGTTCTCTAACTGATATCAGCTCATAATGAAGTCCTGAATTGAAATCTCCCCCCCCTCTCATTGGAATACATCAGTTGACATTGAATTCCTTTTTTTGTTTATCTACTTCATTTATTTATTTTTTTGTTTATTTTTTTGAAAATTTACATTCCTATTTAGGTATACCAAAAGAAATAGCCTATACAGCTTTATCGAATCCCAAATTGATTGCTGCCAATGCAAAATTTGCAATTTGTCCACAAAGCAATCCAAATGACAATGCTGATATCAATCCCTATAGCGAAGATGATGATGATGACAGTAGTGATGATGAAGATGAAGGAAATGGTGATGATCTTGATGATATTGATAATGTTACTAGTGAATATGACTACTGTCCAATTGAACAAGTAACTCTGCGTATGAAAATTTTATGGAGTAAAGAAGATATAATTGTTGGTGATGAATCAAATCCACCTTCTTCTTCATCATCATCATCGTCATCTCCCTCGACCTCGTCAGCCTCGTCATCGCCATTATCATCATCATCATCCTCTTCTGCTTCTTCACAGTGTGATTTGGATTATTACTCCTTACTGGCTAACCGGAAAACTTGCAGTAAGTACCTTTTTTATTTTGTCTTGCTTGTCTTTGATTTTACGTACTGAGATTTTCTTTTCATTGTTTTATTGTTTGTTAGACTATTTGAAATAGTTCTTGTCTGCCTGGGTGATATTTATCTCATGATTTAGTGGTGGTGATGATTGGATTTGAAAACGGCGCCGTCCAGTTACGCCAAACAGATGTCCAATGAAAAGTTTATGATATTTGATTAAATATATAGTTAATATTTATAGACACATGGTTGATAATGTTTTAATTCTGTATTTTTCTGTGTTCTGTTATAAGGACAGAATTTCTAAACCCGGATTTAATTAAGTATGTGTGGCACTAAGACTCTGTGTGTTCACGATGATGTAGGACTGGTCTGTATCTAGTACTCCCAGCTTAAAGATAGGGAGTGAAGTGGTGGATGGGCGTGTTGATCCATTCACTTATTATTGGAAAGTTGCATCACGCCCAGCAGGTTGACCGCTGAGGAAATCTCAGCATGAATATGAAGGGCTTGTGTGGCATTTCGCCAACTTACTCCACCTTTGGCTTAGTAGATGTGGTGTCCTGCTGGCTGTTTACCTAAAGGACATGTGTACTCCACAGCAGCAATTAGCTGCGTCCTCCTTTATGGCTGGCTGTGAGCGAGACATAGCCGCCATTACGAATTGAAGACATGAAAAGCCTGACTGGCTAGCTATCTTCGATCACAGGTGTCTGCGTTTGTCTGTCTGTCTGCCGTGTTAGGTGGTAAGTGCAATAATAGAATGAGTAATATTGAGGTTAGGCTTCGATCGAGTGCTACTTTAGAGTTGGGGAAGATCAAACGATGAAGTTGTGAAGCAGGTGCATCAATTGAGATTGTTAGAATATGTGTGACGCATGCATTCCTTGTCATCGATCGCCTTCCTTGACCGATGGCCAATGTTAGCTGACATAGGATCAATGTGGTTGGATAAGAGTTAGCGTGGGTGGTCAAACCGAAACCTGGAATCTGTCTATGAAATCGTTAATAGTTAGTTTAAGGCAGCTAGCCAGCCAGCCAGTCACGTAGGGAGGTGTAGACTTTTTGGTTGGTTGGTTGGTTGGTGTCCTCTGGTTGCTAAGGACTAATATCTTGAGACAGTTGGTTATATGGCTCGTTATCATTTTCAGTTACCCGGATGCATTCACTCTCTTTGATCTGACGTATACAGAAAAACCATATTGTTTTTCTATGTTACTTTAGTTTCTTCCTCGCATTTCCGTTTATTGTCGTTGCTTCGAATATACTTTTTTCCTCTATTTTATCTTCTTTTGTATGTTGAATGCAGGTAATCGGTCTGTTTGCATGTGTGTATTTTTTAGCTGTAGGAGAGGATTATCGCCTTTCTCATGGTGGAAAAATTTTTAAATTGCTGCATTTAACAAGGTGTATAACTCAACTGAGAAACTTTCAATACCAGTACAACTAATCATCATCAAAATAAAGCTCGTAAATAAGTGAGCTGTGAAAATTTATTAAGTTCTTGATGATTGGTTGCTACAACAATCTATCATTGGCTCAATGATGAAATACTCTGAAGATACACATCTTTGTAGTTTTCGTCCAGTTAGCTCTGAACAAGCACTGTCTGTCTGTCTGAATTCAACATAGAACTTGGCACCAAAGTGCAGCAGTTCGAGTTGCCACGTTCCAAATAGCACACAAAAATATACAAGAAGATGAGTGAAGAGAATCAATAGAGTTTTGACAAGTATAAGAGTGAAACAGAATGAGTAATGGTAGAAAGGAATATGAAAGATTACACAAGAGACTGAATACATCTGCATAAGCCATTGACAACGATTTTGAGCCATGTCACCTATTGTCTGCAGCCATTGATTCTTAGAGTCCCGAGAGCGGGCCCCAAGCCGGAAGTCTGCATCTCCCTCCCTACCTGACTCAGTTTAACTGTCAAGGATTTCATGGATTGATTGATGCCATGTTTTTGTTTGGCCACCACTTGCTCTTTTCCAACCTGCACCTATATCAGCTAGTAATGCCCATCGAGGTGGGGCGATGGCTAGGCATGCGCAGCACGTGACCTAGCCATCTCAATCTATGTAACTTTATAGCCTCGTCGATTGATTTTCCCTCTTTGCCCAACACTCTACGCCTAACGTCAACATTACTTACTTTATTATACCACCTAACGCGAGAGAGAGATCGTAGACATCTATGATCAAAAACAGACAACCTTTTCGTGTCTTCAACTCGTATTGGCCATGTTTCAGAGCCATAGAGAAGGACGGAGCGAACTGCTGAGCAGTACACACGTCCCTTGGTTGATAGCCGGATGTCACGCCTACTCCAGAGATGGTGTAAATTAGCAAAACCAGCCCGAGCTTTTTGGATCCGTGCTGAGATTTCGTGACCAATCAATCCGTTGGTGCTGATACAACTTCCCAAATAGGTGAAGTGGTCAACATGTTCTATCACTTCACTCCCTATCACTAAGCTAGGATTTGACGTAGTCCAGTCCTGTAGCAGCATCTTACATTTCACAGGGGCGAATCGCATGCCAAACATACGAAGATTGCTGCTCAAGGTGTTCAGAAGACTCTGCATTTTGCCAGCATCCTCCCCTAACAGGACTATGTCGTCTGCATATTGTAAGTCCATAAGACTATTCCCTGGTAACAAGTCGATTCCTAAGTCGTTAAGTTCAGTTAAGGATACTTCCATTAGCATATCTATGATGAAGTTAAACAGAAAAGGGGAAAGTGGACATCCTTGACAGACACCACTGGTTGTTATCAATTCAGATGACAATTCCCCATAAGCCCTTACATGGCTAGCAATTCCACACCGTATATACAACACAGTTGTTACTGAAACTTCGGAGCCTGAAGTTCTGTGTCCCATTGTGAACCCAAGGATTGAAAATAACAACAGTCTGAATGTCGACTAATTAAACCTTTTAATCAGGTCTAGGTTTGTAGGGATTTGATTGATTAGTTACAGGATTTCATTGTCAGCTGACATCGGTTGGAGAACCACTTCCCACGAGTAGGAAGCCGCGACCAGTAAAATGCAGCAGGTCGGACGTGAGTGCAAATACTCGCCGAAGATATTGGCTAGTTGTCGCGCTGTGTTGTGAATTAAAAGAAGTTGGAATTCATGCACTAGCCATTGAATAGTGTCTCAGTTGTTTACTGGTCTACGAGCTCGCTAACCTCGTAACCAGAGAGTCCTGGGTTCAAAACCCTATGGTGGGTGCTCACTGGTAAAGAGTTAGCTGTCCAGTACTCCCTGGGTGGTTTTCAATGGTTCTGTTACCGATGTCAGCCCATGATGAAACCCTGTAAGCAATCAAACCCTTTACTTTTCAATACACTTTTGTTTTTCATATTACTCCGTGGACATTGATTAGCACTTAAATCTACGATATGTTATTTGTGACTTTTCACACTTACTGTGTCATTTGGGATAGTAATAATTTCCCCTGATAGTAGACATTACTGCTTGATTTGAGTAGTTCAAAACCACTAAGATTAATCAGTACTCATTTCTAGCTAGATCAAAGTGGTATATAAAACGCCAGACAGTTGTTTCGCCCCCTTTATAGCTCAGTTCATCGGTGATTTATGAGGTTTTGAATCAGTTCAAACTGCTTGAATTTGTTATGCATAGAATCCATTCTAAAATTTGCAAATTATACAGTTCCAAATGAATCTAAATTGATACTCATTGTCTAAAAGTTCACTGAGCTTTTAAGCTGCGGCCGACATCTAATTTATTATAGTTTATGGATCCTTAGAGATTCTTATTATTTATTTTATTGGACTGAATTTACCAATCTTTATTTGGAATATTGACTGAAGACAGACACTGTCAATTGTAGTTGTTATCTGGCAAAACATTGAATACTTCTAGGTGGATAAATAAGCCAGCAGGAATATTGTACAAAAAGTACATCTCTTCAAAATATTATAAATAACAAGCTAACCGAAAGATAATGTTAACTGTTAATAATAATAATAACACGATTATAGAAAAACAAATTAAGCTAGGTAAAAAAGTTTGAATTTTTTCCGCTATTGCCGCACTTACAACCTCCAAATGTTGATTCTTAGCACTTCCAATCTCTCGTTTCTCTGGTCTGGATTCAACATAGAACTTGGCACCGAAGTGCAGCAGTTCGAGTTGCCACGTTCCAAATACCACACAAAGGCAGACAAGAAGATGAGTGAAGAGAATCAATAGAGTTTTGACAAGTATAAGAGTGAAACAGAATGAGTAATGGTAGAAAGGAATATGAAAGATAACAGAGATCGAATACATCTGCGCCATTGACAACGATTTTGAGCCACGTCGCCTATTGTCTCCAGCTATTGATTCTCAGAGTCCCGAGGGCACCAACCCGGAAGTCTGCATCTCCCTACCTGACTCAGTTTAACTGTCAGGGATTTCATGGATTGATGCCATGTTTTTGTTTGGCCACCACTTACTCTTTTCCAACCTGCACCTATGTCAGCTAGTAATGCCCGTCGCGGGAGGCGATGGTTAGGCATGCGCAGCACGTGACCTAGCCATCTCAATCTATGTAACTTCATAGCCTCTTCGAGTGATTTTCCCTCTTTGCCCAACACTCTACGCCTAACCTAACGTTGACATTACCTTATAATGCCACCTAACGTGAGAAAGAGATCGTAGACATCTATGATCAGAAACTGTCAACCTTTTCATGTCTTCAACTCGTATTGGCCATGTTTCAGAGCCATAGAGAAGGACGGGGCGAACTGCTGAGCAGTACATACGTCCTTTGGTTGATAGTCGGATGTCATGCCTATGCCAGAGATGGTGTAAGCTAGCGAAAGCAGCTCGAGCTTTTTGGATCCGTACTGAGATTTCATCACCAATCAATCCGTTGGTGCTGATAAAACTTCCCAAATAGGTGAAGTGGTCAACATATTCTATCACTTCATTCCCTATCACTAAGCTAGGAGTTGACGTAGTCCAGTCCTGTAGCAACAAATCTCTC